GGGGGGGGGGGCGTTACAGGGGCTAACGAAGAGGCTTTCCTACAGTAAAACAACTTCTGTCAGTGCTGCTGGAAGGCATCGCCTCCCCCTCCCCCCGTGTATCCACCAATAACTTCATAGGTGAACATGATGGGAGCATAAACTGGACAATCTGGAGATTCTTATTTGGAATATAACCCGAGAAAAAATACGCTGATTCGTGCCGAGTGAAACTAAAACAGATCTATTTCTACGGCGAGCCAAGAAGTGCTACAAGTGACAGACCTTCGCATATATTCAAGGAAGGGAGTGAAATCGTCCAAAAAGTACCTTGTTGAGATGTTTGACCATTTCACGTGACAAGCTCACATCTGATCGAATAACAAGTTCAATAAGCTTGTAGAAATGAATTGCTGATAGCCGCATCACATTTAGACTCCACGGGAATTCACGGACGCTTTCGTATGTGAAAAGTACCAATTGCAAGCAGCAAACATACAATGATTTTAGAAAATCTTCCCGAAGCAACACAGCCTGAAAAATGTTGATCTTCTTCAAATCCATACAAATTCACGAAAATACGGCCCCTTGTACATATATTGGAATGTTTTGCGCATGATCAAATCTCGGACATTCTTCAAGCACCCATAAACAAATTCACCGCAAACTCTATGAAATAGTAGAATAAAAGGATTGATCTTAAGTGTCATGTGCCGAAAACACGGTCGTGCCAGCTACGAGCACCCCATTACCTCAAATTCATACCACCAAGCAAACGCTTCTCCCCATGAATACCAGAGGGATTAAACATGCAGTGTTTCAAACGAATAAAATCGATTTATCAAAAAAAAAGGTTAAATACGGCCGACATGGTACCAAACTGAGGATTAAGAATGGCAACATTCCTGAATATACGGCAAATGACAGATACATCAGGAATATCCCGGGATGCTTAACCCTTGCTAAGAGTCTCTACCGAGAGATCTGCTGAACTGGGAATCCTTTTAGGAGATGAAACGAATAGAAATAGAAAAGAATGAAAGGGCAATAGAAGCCCAAACCAAAACTGTACATTCCAAGCAGGACTGACGGAGAGGCCGAAATTTCCAAGCAATATTTTGCGTCTGTTGGTAGGCCGAAGCATACCTGCTCAAATAACGGGCCGTAAAAACCAAAGAAAATTTAGCATGGCTGAATTCCATGTTTTAAGGTTGGAAGGATAGAATTTGATAGTGAAATGTGGTGGGGAAGACAGGCGATGAAATGAATGTCAAATTCGCCAGCACAGGATGAACACTAGCCAATACAGCACTGGTTAAAAAAATTGGAAAAAATTTCCAAGCGCAAAACTAGAGGACCAGATTATGATAGAAATATCAGAATACGAAAACTGTGTCAAAAAAAAACTGCTTTTTTTTGCATTGGGAAAGAAAAAATGGCGCCATTGGCGATATAAAATAAACCTACACTTATTTTCAGAATCGTTCCAGTATTTGGGAGACGATCTCTTTCCGAATATGCAATTTTGTGTAAAAATCGGAATAGCAACTCCTCCGTGTTTCTTATTCGGACAGTGATCATTTCCGTAAACACAGCGTCATAATCGGCGCCTTCTGTTTTTTGCTCTTCCCTCACCACTTCTCGTACTCGTGCACTCATTTGCGACACTAAAAATTAAAAGAAAAACTTTTTCTAAGAGGAAGAGGGAGGAAAGAAAGTGTTATGAGTGCGTGTTGTGATTTCCCCTTCAGAAGCATTGTAAAGCATTAATCATGTAATTTTTAGTTCTAGCAGATTAAATTATGAGATGTAAATGAAAAAGTGTACTGTATCTTAAGAGATTCGAGCACAAAAATCAATCGTAACAAGATGCATCGGACACACACACACAAACAAATACACATACATACAAACAAATACCCATACACAGACACACACAAACAAATACACATACACACAAACAAATACCCACACACACACACACAAACAAACACACATACACACACAAACAACCCCGTAATAATATGTATTTTATGCAGCTACTGCACAGCACAAAACGAATAAAAAGCACTGAGTGTATGTCCTCTTGTTACCTTTAATCATAACAGGCGCCACCAAAATGAAAGAGATCTAGAAAAATGAGGGTGATAATAAAAGAAAAAAATGCTGAGGAAATTTACTTCTGCTTATTATCATTAAATGAAAAAAAAAGAGGAATGCCAAATAGAACCCAAAAATATAAAAAAGGAAGCGCAAAAGACATTAAGCCTCCAAAACTCTATTTAACCAAGAATACCAAGACTGTAGGACAATCAGTGGGAGATCCCAGGTCCGTGTTGCAGCCTAGTGCAATTATATATATGGCTACAAACTCCCTTAATTTCTTCATATTACCACCCTTGAAAAAGTAAGTTTATCCAGCCTAAGCATACACGAGGTAATCTACCGAGAACTGTTTGAAAAGCAAGTTAAAAGCGATTTGCATCTTCCGCACAGATGACATTTTTATCGTTATAAAGAAAGTAGGCAAAATTCATAAGTACCTGAATTCATGATTCTCGTAAACGGATGATGGCAGCTGTGCGATAAAATATTTTCCAGCTCAATTTCAAGCTTCTTCCAATTTTTGTGTAACATTGATTCAAGTTTCGATGCGTTATACAGTGATGCAGCAACCGGTGTAGCAGGGCAGTACTGAAGAATTATTGAAAAATTCATTCGAAAGATATGATAGGAAACACATACAAAGCCTAATTTCACACAAAGCCTAATCCACTTTTTAGCTTAATTATCCCAAAATCCAGAAAAACAGCTACAGAAGAATCAAAAACAGGGTAATTTGACTGAAAGAAGGCCTAAAATCTTTTTATTGAATTATGAGATAGTGTAATCAAAAACTCAAAGTACTCGCAATACTAATAATTAATAACAACAATTAATAAGGATAGGAATAATAGGGATAATAATAATAATAACAGTAATAGTAATAATAACAATGATGATAATGATAATAATAACAATAATAATAATAATGACAACAAGGATAATAAGAATAACAATAGTATGAGTTACAATAATAAGAATAGTACGAACAATAAGAACAATTAATAAGAATATTTAATTTTTCATTTAACATAATACTTATTCAATAACACGAATATCCACCTAATATGTTTATTTGCTAAGTTATCAAATTTGAGCAAAA